GTATAGGTCAAAATTTGTAGCCCTCCATCGACAAGTGGTGGCGTCTCCATATGAATGAAAAAATTCTCAAGAGGGACGTTAAACAACAAACAAACAAATAAATGTAACACTGAACAGTGCGCGCATAAATTCGGCGAAGTCAATATTTTTGGGAATATCACCCGTCGTCAAGCAGTGTTGACTGTTGCTACGCTGGAGGGCGTGGTTTCATCATTCAGAGGGTGAAAGTGTTTTTTAACAAATGTTTCTCGGCTGATCGTCGGTTGACAATGGGTTTCTTGGGGTGAAAATGTTCAATGTTACTCTCAACTACATGTTGTATTTATTATATTGTACTGAATGTTGTATACAAATAAATATAACAGTTGCCTGGGTGGCGCAGTGGTAAGGGCGTCTGTTTTAGAGTCGAGGAGTAAGGAGTTGATCCTTATGTCGCGGGTTCGAATCCCACTATGGGACGTGGAGACCTGTCCTTCGGATGAGAACGTATAAACCGAGGTCCCGTGTCGCAGTAGGTGCTGGCACGAAAAAGATCCCTCACTGCTTAATGGCCATGAGTGCCGAGTATAGGTCAAAATTTGTAGCCCTCCATCGACAAGTGGTGGCGTCTCCATATGAATGAAAAATTCTCGAGAGGGACTTAAACAACAAACAAACAAATAAATATTACACCGAACCGTGCGCGCATAAATTCGGCGAAGTCATTATTATTTTTGTTTGGGGGGGGGGGGGGGGATATCACCCGTCGTCAAGCAATATTGACTGTTGCTACGCTGGAGGGCGTGGTTTCATCATTCAGAGGGTTATAGTGTTTTTTAACAAATGTTTCTCGAACGAATCAGATTCAACAAGTTTATATGAAAGTATTATATTAGTAAATATATTACATATAGATCTGTTGTCGGTGTATATAGCAAACCTACCATCTTAAAAGCTTTTCATAGGATGTAACTATGTTAATATTCTTGATTAAACTCAAACCAGCTAACGGTCTAACATCAATTATCGCCTGTTGTGTGCAAAAACAAATTATTTCGTTTACTCAATCGTAAATTCAAACTTTGCATTTAAAGGAAATTATTTTAAATTACTCTTTTCCACAACAGCCCTAAATTGATAAAATTATTGCCACAATTTAATGAATCTAATTTTATTTGAACATTTTTGACGGAGTACATGTAACCATGAAATAAGATATGCCATTTTGAAGCCTTGACAACAAGTAGTCATAAGTATTTAAATTAGCTTTAATATATCCAGTGAGCGTGGCTATGTTCGGAGATCTACCTGTTAGGGGGTCTGGATGTCGCCGTCAAGTCCAGTAAGTGTGTATACCATTTATGAAAATGGATCTTTATTAAACATGTGTATAAAAAAACCAGAAATTCTATTCACCTGTCGCCATCATATCTAAAACTCAGCTAAAAAAATAATTCTAAATTTTCTGCTCCTCTAAATACCTGCACACCTTTTTCCTACAATAAATAAATTACAGTGACAATATATACACTTTGTTACCGTTCACGGTAGCTCAGTCGGTAGAGCGCTCGCTCCGTGATCGGGAGGTCGTGAGTTCGAATTTCGGCCGCGACAAACCTAAGTCGATAAAAAATAGGTAGCAACTGTTCCTTCGCCATGCGCTCGGCACTTTGAAGTGAAAGTTGCGGGTCCTTCGGATGAGACCTTAAAAACCGAGGTCCCTTGTCACGACAGGCGTTGGCACGATAAAGATCCCTCACTGCTCAATGGCCCTAAGTGCCGAGTAAGGTCAAAATTTGAAGCCCTTCACCGGTATATGGTGACGTCTCTATATGAGTGAAAGATTCTCGAATGGGACGTAAAACAATATACAATCAATCAATCATATACACTTTGTTATTAGCTATTTATGACGAGATGAAAATTTTGTTTAGTATTCATTCATGCACTTTGAAAAAAAAATTGAGGTGTTTGAAGACGGAAAGAAAATCATCTTGCAACTAGACCATTCTTTATGTTTTTCTGGAGGGCATTCATTTTTTAAAGATAAATCATGGCAATTAGGAAAGACATTTTTGAAGATTTTTCTTTTATATTTCCAACTATTTTTTTTTAAATTTCTTATATAAGTATGCAACCGTATCCCAGGGGAGGGGTATGATTTGAAAAAAAAAGATAAATCTTTACTATCTGAGGATGATTGCATTTAAAACTTTCACGTCTTCACTGCTATTTTTGGGGAAAAAAATATGCATTGCAATTTTTCTTATGTAAAATTCGCTCCCTTACTTTTACCTTCCTAATCTCCTAGCAACAAGATTTGACGAAAATTGGATCTAATTAAAAATCTTTTACGTAAATTTAAATAAAAGGACCTTTGTTTTTTAGATTTTTTTTTAAAATAAACTTTTCCTGTATCTGCCTTCTCTTCATTATATTCCCTTACAAGGGTCAATGACTGAAGAAAACTTGATGGTTTGATTTTATTGGCAAACTGGTTCAGGAGAAAAAGATGAAAATTCGACAACGTCGAAAACGACCCCAAAGATAACAACAGCAACAGACAACAGATTAATGTCGATCAGAAAAGCAACATCTAACTCAAACCGTTGCGTCGGTTATCAAATTAGAAAATCAAATAATTTAATCAGAAACTTTTCCAAATAAAAAAAAACAAAAACAAAAAACGGCAATGCCAAAAAAAATTTGACCTCAGATCAAATTTATTAGATAACATTCCTATACAAAAAATAAAACTGTTATCTTCAGGAATAATTTAAATGAAATTTAAGATTTTAACTTTCGTTAAAAATTTATGACTGTAATAAATGTGACCAGTGAGGTATTTAATATTTACTTTATGCGATGCACTGTGTCTATTCTCCAACAAAGCTCAGTATATTAGAGAACAAAGCGAGATTTGTATAACGCAAGCAATAAATAAATTACGTATCGATTCTTGTCGTACATTTGCATTTTTTATTTATTTATTTATTTTTGGGTTTGATGTAAACCCATATAGTCCATTTGCGCCATTTTCTTTGGCTGACAACAAAGCCGTATCTTAGTTAACAAATAATCAGAAAAGTCATATAGTCTTTTTTTAAATATCACGGTTTTCTTTTCAATCAAATTTCATGGCTATCACAAAAAAAAAAAAAGAATTTAAAAACTAAATATAAGAAATCAAAGACACTAAAGGATCCGACTTCTAAGGATTGTATCCATATTATATGAAGCAAAGGAATCAGTTTTCATTCTTGCTCAACCATTCAAATATAAAATACAATACTTGTGCTAGTAAATCAATGCATTGATTGATTTGAATAATTATATATCTTATATGATTTATTAAATCTTAACAATGAAATATTTGGAAATAACGAACAGTATTCGAGCTCAAAAGTCCATTAAACGTTACAAAAAAAGAGCAGAGCAAACACGGACCTCTAAGACATCAGAGGTGGGATCAGGTGCCATCTAGGAGTGAGCATCCCCTGCCGACCGGTCACACCCGCCGTGTGCTCCTTGTCATCATCGGGAAATAACGGAAAAATCCGTCGACAATTCAGTGTGTAAATAATGGTCAAACAATTAGTATGAAAAAAAGTCAGTCAGCATTTGACTTAATGATAGATTGTATTTGCTAACAAGGTCAATTTATCGACCATAGAACTTACGAAATGATGACTTTAAAAAAGATCCCTGATATTCTTGTTTCATCAACTTATTTGTCAATAACTTACCTTGTTTTAGAAATTGATCATACGGAGAGCATGATGTTGCGTATCGAATCAACTGAGAGATATAAACCCCTTATGCAGGTGATTAGGGTATATCGCTGCATAAGTAAGGGAAGTTGACGATTGAAAAGTTAAAGTCATTTGTTTATCATAAAGCTTTGTTGTTAGATTACCATTAAAGTCTTTTTCTAATAAAATATCCAAATATGAAACAGATGTGTCAGACTCTGTGGTATCTTTTATCTCAAGCTCACCGGGATATATCGTGTCGACATAAGAATGGAAATAACCATTTAAATATTGTTAGTTAAATTATACATCAATTAACTGTATGAACATCGCAAATGATTATGGATTAAGTTTTAAGACAGAAACTTTTGGCAAGCAGGGTTTTTTTTTTCTTTCAGGAAATGCCTTATTCTGTTAACGACTCTGTTGGGTATGCAATTTTTAATAGATTACTTGTGTAGCATTTTCAAATGATCATGAGTTTTTAAATTCATTGAAGGCAATGTGCATTTTAATTATTAAAGATTCGTAAAAAATGATTCTGATTTGCCAATATTTCTCTCACCACTTGATGAATCCTCTTCTGAAACAATGCCCTCATATTTCGCATCACCTTAAAAACAAATCATATATATAAGATTTTTTTTCCCTGTTATTTTTGTAGTTTTTAGTATCTCCTTTTACAATTGGATAAATTTTAGATGATTTTATTTTGTGTCTGATAACAATGTATGATATTATTGGAAATACTTTTTTTTTTTAGAATTTCGAACATTAATCAGATCACAAAATTGCCAAAAAAAAACACGAAAAACTGTTGTACAGGCTCTTTTATTCATTGAAGCGGGGAAGAAATGGTTTAATTAGCAATTATAAGCCTTTGGCAAGAGATGAGCAAAATGTTTTTGTTAACTGTTATAATACTTAGTGCTTTGATATAAGAATATACACGCAAGTGGCGACAAAAATTTATCGCTACTATTTTTAGAATCATTGAAACGTAAACAAGTAAGTAACAACAGTGGAACCAATTGTGCTCCTCTGATGAGTTTATTAAAACTTACTTTCGTAGGTACTTGAATCTTGACCTTTATTGAAAAAAAAGTATTTGATTTTAGTTGTCATTTTAAACTATTAATACTTATTTGAAAAACTTTAAGCATATAAAGAAAATGCTTTTAAAATATTTAGTAACAATATCTCACTTTTTGTTTTTCTCATTTCCACGTAAGAGAAAGGACGACGCGTTGACTTTGTTACTTTTCCTACGTAAAGACGATCGGGATCTAAAGGTTGGAAGGAGAAATAGAAATCCTTTACACGATTTTGTTGCAGATCTTGCTTGTATTTTTCAACTTCTTTTCTTTTTTCTTGTAACTTTTCATAGGCTGCGAAAGGATTAATTTCGTCACTAGAAAACTGAGTTTTTCGTGCAACCATCTTCATGTATTTGGCGCATTGAATGAGTTCTGAAACTATTTTTTCTCTCTTTGTCAAAATTGGCATTTGTAGAATGAAAAGTTCATGAAGAGCTGCTTTCTGTTTTTTTGTTCGCTCCTGAATCTTTTGAAGGAAAATTTCAATTTGATTTTCTGTACCTTTTTTACTACCTTCTAACATTTGCATTGATCGAAATAAATCATCTTGTTGAGACATATATCGGTTTTCGTTTGCGACTGCATCTTTCTCAATATCAACTATATCTTTCATTATCTCTTTTCTTACAGTGTGGTTTCTATGATGAACACTACATTTATCACATAAGACAATTTTGCAATCATCACAGAACGAAAAGAGATCATCCTCAGGGTGCATAGAACACTTCGGATTAAGGCCAAATTCGTCGTGAGCTTTCTCAACATAAGATTCAGTTCTTGTTTCATTCATTATGTTAATGATTTTTTAAGCTTGGGTGGAATATTATATTTACACCATTTGCAACATACGATAGGTTTTCACACCGTGGACAGACGAAATCATATTCTTCATTCTGAATTCCACTTTATATATATGCAAGAATTACAAAATAGGTGACCGCTGACAAACTCTACTGGATTGGATCAGGTATTTTGGCATATTGAACATACGATAGCATCTGACATTTTCTCAACGTTGCAGAAGTGTTCATTCTTTTAATTTTCTATTCGTTGATTACATTATTTTCCGCAGTCATAAAAAACCTGAAAGAAATATTAAGTTTTCAAAAAATGTAATTATAAATAAACAACAGAAAGGTCTTTCAGCCATGAAAGGGCTTTACATTCATAAAAAAAAATATCACTTTTCATGCATTTAAAATATGTCTTGATTGTTTATCACGAATGTCCTTCTTGATTACAATGAAAAATAATTCATATATACGAGGGTTGTCTGGAACGTTCTAAGAAAAATGCTATAATGCTCTTAATAGTCATTATCAAACATGTACGATATTTTTATTTAGATCATGGACTATGATTTAATAAATGTGTAAGAATTAAAACAATGCACACTATTTTTTTTAAAGTTATTTGTGTAAATACTTTGTATATGCAAGCTGCACAGCCCAGTCTCACGTAAATCTAGTTACTTATGAATTTTAAATTTTTATCACATGATCGTGGAGACACGCTATTTTTCTATAATATACCTCACTACATTGTGTTAACATTTTTTCATAAATAGACCGTATTTGGTTGATTGATTGATGTTTTACGTCCCGTTCGAGAATTTTTACTCATATAGAAACGTCACCATATACCGGTGAAGGGCTTCAAATTTAGACCTTTACTCGGCACTTAGGGCCATTGAGCAGTGAGGGTTCTTTATCGTGCCAACGCCTACCGTGACACGGGGCCTCGGTTTTTAAGGTCTCATCCGAAAGACCCACAACTTTCACTTCAAAGTGCCGAGCTCTTGGCGAAGGAACAGTTGCTACCTATTTTTTATCGACTTAGGTCAGTAGCGGCCGTGATTCGAACACACGACCTTCCGATCACGGAGCAAGCGCGACCGGATTTGAGAAAAGTTCTAAAATTCAAAAGCAATGCCGGAAAATTTAGGAGCGTCATCCGTATAAAAACGAATATGCACAAGCTGCTCAGCTCACTTCGCTTGGGTAAATTTATAATAACGTCAGAAATAGGAAAAGCCCATTTTCATCAAATAATTGGCAGGTCTTCCAAATGGTAAAAACCGTTGAAAATTCGTATATACCAATTTCAAATCCATGGACTTAATACAGGTGTATATGCCGATATTTTTCAGTTTTTTAAGGATGTATTCTTCTGAGATTACTAGTTTTCAACTTTACAATGTTTAAATCGACGTTTTCATTATTTGAAACAAAATATGAAGCAGTAAAATATGAGCTAGTGAGCATTTTTTATGTACATGTACAAGGCATTAAAAATATAGCGGGAAACCTGACTTCATGGGATTTTTCATAGGAATGAATGGAAGATTTTTTCCTCTGAAAACTTATGATCTGGAATTAAACTTTTTTAGAAGACAATTAAATCTACAAAGAATCGACAGGTAGAAATGTGGGATAATTTGTTTCACGGTAAAAGCTCCTTATGCATAAACTGTTCAACGTTTCCAATCGCGTTATTGTTCCTGTCATACCCAACAAACTACATGTAGACAGATATTCCTTATGTTAACATTTATATGTGAATTTAAAATGTTATATTTATTTATTTTTTTTAATGCAGTCTAAAAGATATGAAATAGACGAGATATTACATGTTTGTTTCCATAGTCTCCGCCCACTGACGTAAGAAACAATGGTAGCCGTGGAAAATTGGCATGCATATTAGGCACTTGACTTTTCGGTTGGTGATATTTACGATCAGCTGTAAATATAGAGAAATCAACACACTTAACTTTCAAACAGGTATCATAAAGAAAAAATTGGACATAAAAATATTTTAATACCTAACTTTTCTCCGACGTCGTCTCAACCAAATTAAAAGAAAATCATACGATTAGACCCTGTTCCATTCGCAAAAAAAAAAAAAAAAAAAAATCAACTAGAGGAACTATGAGGACTGATCTTGCAAATTGATACGACCCAACCCTACTCCCACTCCCCTCCCAGCAGCTCCCATATGAGTATATTAATGAAAAACAAAAACATGTTTTGCTAGGGAAAAGACCAAATATCTTTCAGATCATATCGCAAAATAGGAAGTGCTCAATGACACTATGTAAAAAGGTTTCTGTGAAAGTCTCATTAAAGTTTACTCAACGATGTAGACGGACTTGTGAATAAGTGAGGGTATCTCGTATTTTATTTTGAAAAATGAAAGTGTTCATGTTTTGCTATGGGAAATCGCAAATATTTACCTATTCAAAAAGTAAAATAGAAGGTGCACAATGGCACTACGTAATAAATTTTGATAAATTTCATTCAGTGATGTTGGAGAAGTTACGGATAAGAGAGAAGTACCCAAAGTGTAGAGGAAGGATGGGCAGACGGACAGATACGCGGCAAAACTATACACCACGCGCTTGAACGCGGGGGGATATAATAATGAAAGCGAGTTTATAGTAATAAATGTTTACCTTGCTAAGTATTATCTATGTCATCATGCGATAAAAACGTAAGTATACCTTAACTAAGGATATGCCTATGCTAGACATTAAGTTAAATTATAGTAAAATCAATAACTTTCTCTCGAAGGAAAAACCGATGTCCTTCAAAGTTCCTTAAGGATATTTATCGATTGAAAAACCTGTAATAAGGAATAACATGATACTTTTTATCTCCTTCGTTTTGTATTGCGTATCTCACGGTTTTCTCATATAAAAGGATTTAAACATTATAACTGAAAAATACTTTGATTATGGTTTGTTAAACTGGGTTTTTTTTCTGCCTAAGGGAATGATATTACCTGTAATGACCATGCCTAGACTTACATGTACCTGGTGAAGTGGAAAGTGGACCTACCTTATATGATATCTAGAATTCTTTTTTTTTTTCTATAATTTCTATTAACAACAAACCAGAGACCATTTTTATTGCATTAATCGACCCTCGTATCACAACTTATCTTTTTAAAATATAAATTGCAATCAAAATCCCTTGTGAAAAAATTCAAATTATCTCTAAAGCAGATAACCTACAAATTTTTCAAGAAGTTTAAAGGGACGGCTCTAAGATTTTAGTACAATAGACATAAATTTCAAATAGGTGTTGTTATTAATAGATTTCTTTCTAATAAAAAATGGCATGAGTCAGATATAACCGGTTACTCTTTCATTTATATATTTATAGAATTTAAATCATGAGAAGTTTATTTGGTGTCTCTTAAATTAGAAAAGAATGTCACAACGTACCGAACCATATAGTCTAAATTTTTCCATATGTAAAAACGTGGTGTAATATTAATTACATATAAGTTTAGTTAATAATCAACGAATTCCATGCTCATGTTGAAATAAATATTTTACCGATATTTCTATCTTATGAATATTGATTATCGAAAGACCTCAGTTACTTCTGAAGAAAATCTTATTCTTATGTTCACACATCTTTTTTTTAGGTCGCAAAATTTCTTTTTATCCTAAAGACTAAGAACTTCGAAATATGCGAAATGTTTCAATCCATATTATATGAATTTAAAAATATGAAAGCAAAGACAAGGATAAGATTGCAGGTTTCTTGGCTTTCAGAAGAATGCTTTTTTAGTTCGAGGTCTAATAACAAATTTTAGTTTTTATGAACCATATAAATAATAAGGTGGAGAAAACTCGTTATTTAATTTTCCGGTAATAAAATTCAGTACATGTGTCATTTGCATTCTGAATTCTTAAATAAGTCTTTTAAAAATACTACACTTTATTTGAAAGTGCATGTCATTTTGCATATTAGCAATTATTTTTAATTTTGCTAATATTGTTCTGATATAATAGTCATTATATTAAATACATTTCGCGTTATGGAAGCAATAAAGCAATAAAGCAAGTAACTTTAGATTTCTTGTAATTTTCCCATAAGTTTTAAAACGCATTATCACAACAAACCAAAATCTTACTCTTTTATTTCAATCCTTTCCAAAAGGTCCTTCCGTTTCTTCATGTGTTCCAAATCTTAACGAGATATGCCAAATTCCTTTCGTTTTAGAGTGTTTTTCCAGCCCTTTGCAATTTTTTATGCAGTTGCAGTCACCCATGCAACTTTTGTTCGCCTGACGATAAGACTAGATCTGGCTAAATTTAAAACATACATGAGGTGTACACCGGAAATATCAACCCAGAAAGATCAACGTATCTTGAGACATGTATACCAATGTTATGTTTGTACTTACGTTTTGGCTGTTTTTGCCTTTAGGTAAGTTAAATATGTACTTAAAATCCTCAATCTTTTCTCAGAACCTTTCTACAATGTATGTTTACTTTATATGATTGTTAAACACATCATTGTTATAAAAAATTCGTGGTGTATATTAAGTGGTCTAATAACATTTAATGTACTTACATATGTTTTGAGCTTAAAAGCGTTATTCCCCAGTCTCTTCTAGAAGACGAATTACCACATATTCAATGTACCCGAATGTACATTGTATACGTGGTAATTGATATTATTTGCCCAAGAACTGATAGATACATTATTGAGATAAAAAATATTATTAACATGATAGTTTAAGAAAAAAGCTTTAAACGTTAAACGGAAAGAAAACAAAGAATGGCTTGCGTGTTTTGATTCCGTATGTACTAGTAATATACTGGCATATTCATGAATATAAATTGTTACCCTGCATGTGTACACTTTCGTATACAATATTGAGTTTAAATATATAAGTTAAGTATTCCTATCCCTCTGTTTGAGGTTCTACATTGTAGAAAAAAATACTCAATTATATTCACCTACACATGACCTTGCAGGTGAAAATAAGAATTTA